CTTCTTCTTCTTCTTCTTCTTCTTCTTCTTCTTCTTCTTCTTCTTCTTCTTCTTCTTCTTCTTCTTCTTCTTCTTCCGGAGTTCATCACGTCCTCTTGCACGTCTCTCCAGTGACTGTAAAAAGTTATTGGCTACAGACCAAAGTTCACCTGACCACATATTTTATCAGCAGCGAACACATGTCGGCGACAACACGTCAGTAATTCGATCAGTCTTTGCCATTCCGGCACAATCGTCTGCCAGTTCTCACTATTGCGACTCTTGGCCAGATCCGACAGTATAAACAATCGCTCCAATTTTGGACTCTTGGATTACAGGCCTTATCCAAGTAAAATCCGTTACACCCCAGCGGAAGGCTTTCTTTCGGCTGACTGCTAAACTAGCCTAAACCCATTAAGCAAATGGGACAAGGGTCGACAATTTGTGTTGACTCACAAAGGAGTTCAAGTCGAGACACGGGTGTTTTGTTTTGGGTTTTTTAACTGCCTGTCGTTCCTGTAACAACCGTGCCCCCATTTAACCATCTATTCACAGAAACAAAAATATTAGCTTCCTTTCTCAAGCGCTGGTGCAAAGCTGCCATATGACACACGACACCAACCATTCTAATAATGACCCCCGGTGTAGTGTCTGACTTTTTATGTTGATCCCCGAAGTGAGTAACATTAACCAAAAGCCCATGGCATACGGGGCGCTTACGTCCCGTGATTAAAAAAGAGTAAGGTACAATACGGTGACTACCGTGACAGCAGACACAATTCATTTCAATTAAACGAACGTTTTGTTCGTTTTGTTTTGTTTCATTTGATCAACACAATAATTACAGCTCGTGTCCTCAGTGTATTTGTTCCCATATTGATTTTCCTTACAAATTCGTGTACTCAAAACCCCAGGCACCACGAACATTCTCATATCATTACGTTGACAACCGCACAATGGTGCCAACAATGACACACTGACCTGTCCCTTTTGCGAGCCACTTTGGAAGCCACTATAAAATTATTTCGGCAAACCAGACATGACAGTGTTTCTCCAATGAATTTTCTTCTACTGGTTGTGCTAAAGGAGAAAAGAGGCTTCTCAAGCAATGCGTAACGATTTGTACGGTTATTAATGCTTCCTCCACCAAACGCCACAACGCAGGGTTGCATTTGGTTCTTGGCAGATTGCTTTCCTCAGATCAATTCTGAGCCGAAATCAAAATCATAATTAAAGCATGACAGTTGCGCATATTAACCAGCTGATATTACAACGCACGCACGCACGCACGCACGCACGCACATGCACACACGCACACGCACACGCACGCACACACACACACACACACACACACACACACACACACACATTAATAGCCATTTATAATAGAAATTCTCCTTTTCCCCCAAAA